GGGGTGGAAAGGGTGGGGTGGGGGGGGCGGCCGGTCGGAAGGGAGCGTTGGCGGGCAGCTGCCGGAATGCGGCACCGCAGCTGGACGGCCGCTGCTCGGCGCCAGACGCGAGCCGTGACTCACGACGCCTCGAGGACTGGGGCTGCGGCGATCAACAGCTCGTTACGGATATCTGTACGACATGGAATTTTATGTTGACGCACCTGCCAGCTGGCGTGAACAACGCCCTCCAATAACACATTAAACTCAAATACGTTGCAAAGCATCAAACATGGGATGTCCCGGATTATGAATATTGAAAATATAATGATCGATATTCTACTAATAGAGACGGTATAACCTTAGCTGCATAACTTAGAATCATCGGAGATACTTTGTCCTTATTTGGATACTTGCAGTAATTTGAAATTGTGAAGGTGATATAAACCAGGCCAGAACTTATATGATTTTTCTGGTCAATGATGGGCATTTTGGGTAAGCTTTTTTCAAAACAAATATTTTTAGTAACGTAGAAATTAGCGTTATGTACATTCAACTGTCGATTTTTAACGATCAACGCCCCTATAAAAACATTAAACTCAAGATACGTTGGAAAGCGACACGCATTTGATGAACACTGAATTAAAATATTGAAATGTGATCTATATTTTACTAATACAGACGACAATGCCTTTAGATTGCTCAAACTTAGAATCCATTGGGTAGGATACTAGTCCCACTTGTCCTTATTGGAGACTTTTTAAGTAATTTTGAAATTGTGAAGGGTGATAAAAGCCAAGGCAGAATTAATATGATTTTTTCTGCTCATGATAGACATTTTGTACAACCTTTTTTCACCAAAATATTTTTTATGGTAACGTAAAAATTAGCTTTTATTACAATTCAAACTGTCGATTTTAAATAAAAAAAACACGTCAATTTCACAGTTTTTACGTCAAGAAAGAAAAAATATTAAAAATATGACTGAAGACGTTCGAAAGTTTTCCAGAATTTTACCGACCGAAGATCGTCGGCAATTTCCAGAGCGCGAGATTTGAACACAAATGTAAATGCATATTTTAGACCCCCTCAAAATATAAATATGGGCTTGGAGTTTGATTGGAAAAGTTTACGGAATAAATAATCAGGTGTGTAAGAAGAAGATAAAATGAGTATGGTCTATTTACTTATATACATAGGCATGCGCAATATTAAACCATAGAGGGGAGAACTACATTTACTACATTTCTGGCCGCCATTTCCCTCGAATTTCTTTATTTTAGTAGGATATGACCGTTTAAAACCCCACTTAAACGAAAAAAACATACTGTTAGAGAGAATACAATTAGAAACTTTAATGATTA